TATGAGGAGAGACTAGAGAAACTGGATCTATTCAGCCTCCGCAAGAGAAGGTTGAGGGGCGACCTTGTGGCTGCCTATAAGTTCATCACGGGGGCACAGAAGGGAATTGGTGAGTATTTATTCACCAAGGCGCCCCCGGGGGTTAGCATCTAGCTGGGGTCATCTAAACCCAGCACTCTTTCTTGCCTATGCAGGGGGTCGGACTCAATGATGTATTGAGGTCCCTTCCGACCCTAACATCTATGAATCTATATAAGTTCTCTACTGCCTTTATTGCAGTCTTGGCTGGTTTGCTTGCTGGCTTGCTCTGTCTTTCTCATGGATACACAGTCTGTTTCTCTCTGTCTCTCTCTCTCTGCCCCTCACTCCTGACCCACTGTTCCCCACCCCCACCCTTCTGTGTGTGAGGAAGCGGATGCTTAAGGAAGGGGGGGGGGGGGGACGACAGGCAATACACATGCCCCCCACCCCCTCCAAGATTTCTGCACCCACAGTGGGGCACAGGGCTGCAGTGGGGTCAGACCAGCTCTGGGTGCAGAAATCTTAGGGGTTGTGTCCCCCTGCCATGTTGCCTGTGCCCCCCCCCACCTGCCCATCATCTGTGCCCCTTTCCCACCTCTGTTAGCACCACTGTCCACCAAATCGTTAAAGTATAATTAACCCAGAAAATTCATGTGAAATATGAAAAAACTGACAGTTTACTGAACCAAAATCTAGCTTTATTGATACAACAAATGTTATCTTGGGAGTTTCTATCTATAGAGAGAGAAAAACACTGAGTACAGTGGTCATACCCAATTCCCAGATGGTTATCTCCACTTAGTCTGAAAGTAGTCAGTGGCTGACACAATCCAGACAGGTATTTCCTGGATGTATGACAACATACATTTAACTTTCTTGGTCCCCCCTCTTATGCTTTTCTTCATCTTCACTCTTCTGATGACTCTGTTTTTGGGTACCATTGATTGGTTTCCATAAGGTCAGTACACTGTCCATATTTTATCTTGTCAGCATGTTCCTTTGTTCAACAGACCCATCATAAGCACACCTTCTAATTTGGTCCTTTACCAGTGTCTTGATCTGGGCATTGTCCATTGGTCTCCTGTTCTCGCCTTTCATTAACACATCTAATCATTTCATCCCTTTGATTCAGCTGTTTAGTGCCAAGTTTAGTTAATTTGAGCTGGTAACGAGGCTATTACTGTTATGTTAGAAAAATGTCTTGCAGTGATTAAAAAAAGGAAAGAAACAATATACAAGGAAGCTCAAGGCTATAAACTGCCTACGAAAAAGAGCTCAAAACCAGCTTATAAAAATGGTTCTAATAATAATGAGGCTACACAAAAACTTAAGCAATAGTTAAATAAAGCTAAATATAAAAGAAAAGTTCAAACAGTACTCTAATTCACCATTCAAGCAAGTGCAACTTAAAACATACATGTGACAAGCTACCCTAACACCCCTGTCCCTATAGACTTATCTGGAGGGAGCTGCAGGAGCTGCTCTCCACTGCTGCCTGGTTGCCATGTGCATATGCACATGCACATGTTGTGCCCTGTCTCTGATTGCCCTCCCCCTGCTTCCCATAGCCCCTTGCAGGCTGGAACTTGCCTGGCCTGCAAAAGGAAACCTATGGTTTCCCTCATTTTTTTTACTTTAAAGAGGAGACCCCCAGTTTTCTCCTTTAACAGAGAAAATCTGTGAGTTTTTCTTTTAAAAGAGGAAGTCCATGTTTTCTCTGTTAAAGGAGAAAATTGAATTTTTCTCTGTTTTCCCACAGAGAACAGAAAACCTGGATCCCTTATGATCAGGCATGTCTGTTTTGAAGACACTGGGAGGCTAAGATGAAGTTGGTGAGCAAGATAGCTGTAGGATTCATTTGGGTGTGAAGACCTGCTATATTAGTGAAAACCTAAGAAACCTTTCAGAAGGCAGATAAATGGAACAAATTGCACCCTGTGGGCATCCCCCCTGCTTTTTTTTCATTTAAAATTTGCCTTAAGTAAAAGTGTTGCTTTATTGCATCTGTCTGCAGCGCTCACCGCCTCTTACAGCCAGATTTTTAAATGTATGGAGGAGCCTAAAGATGCAGATAGGTGCCTTCATGTTTCTGAAAATCCCATTGGGTGCTTGAATACCTTGTAAGTATCTGGCTGCTACGTAATGAACTGTACCATCTTGTTCAGCCAAGGAAAGTTCTGAAAGGGAAGTCCCAGGCTTGCAAGCCATGAACAGTTATATGAACCCCGTCCATTCTTGAGCACATCTATGGCAATAATTGCCTCTGCTCTTTAATGAACACAACAGTAGCTTTTCAGACATAGTGCAGTAAACAATATAACCAGAAGTGTTTACTTTCTCTTTTTTAGCCCTCCTTTCCCATCTGATTAATGCAAGATTACTTGTTCTTACTACGAGAAAATTTACCTTCTTTTTGTTTTTTATTTTCAGGATCCAACCAGCTTGGAAAAATTTAATGTCTCCAACTTCTTCCATGTTAAAAACAACTTAAAAGTGACAGATCCAGGTAAGGAAAAACTGAAAACAGTTTGAAGAACCCAAATTTACAAAGATTGTGGGATTTGGGTAATTTGTATTGAAACTGGCAGGGGATGTTTGTGGTTTTTCTTCCAGTCTAGATACTCCAACTGAGACCAGAGCTCTGAGGTGCCAAATATTAATCCAGAAAATAATATTTGCATCATACAAAAATCTTTGATAGTTTGAATTTTCCCCCTGTCTTGAATTGAGACTTAAGTCTTCTTTAAAAATACCAAAATAGAAAAAAACCCTTCATTTAGTTTATTTGAAATATTTTGTTTCAATCTTTGCCTTTTTAATTTTAAATTTACTGTAAACTAATTGAAGAAAAATCCCTTGAAAAACAGAATATTTTGACAATTTTGCATTTATTCGAATGAGAAATTTGTTGAAAGCTGTACTTACCTGTGAAAAGTTTGTTTTGGTGGGTCATTGTTTCCAGTGGAAACAGGTTTATGAAGGAATTCCTTTCTAGCTCTACTGGATAGTTAAGAAAATATAGCAACAGCCCACACTGTGCTTTCTATAGACATAGACAAGGCATTATGGTGAAGAGGGAAATGGAGAGAGAAATGAAGTGATTTGCCAAAAATCACAATTAAGAAAATCTAAAAAGATAAAATAATGTAATCATCTAAAACAAAATAAATATTTCTTCTCTCTGGTTTCTGGGACTGGGATCTTTGCTCTTTTTCTCTACTAGGATGCTTTGCACACACAGATGCATAGCATATACACAGTTGTCATACCTCTCCCCAATAGATAAACATTTCTGCCTTTTAAATTTTTTTCTTTCCTTTTTAAACCTTGGTGGTTTCCCTTAAAAACTTTTCCACTGGCCATAAAAATGCTACTTGGCTGACCCCAAACATAACTTTGTGGTGGCATTTTACAACCATATGCTAAAGAAACAGCAGCTATTGATTTTTGCAGCAAACTTGTTTTTCCCACCTATATTCCAAAAGTTGCAACTCAACTGTAAATATATACTGCCAATCTGAATTAGGCTTGGAAAAATGGAGCCTGGGTGTGATTTTAACCGCGCGCGCGCGCGCGCGCGCGCACACACACACACACACACACACACACACACACACACACACACACACACACACACACACACACACACACACACACACACCCTTGCTGTCATGCTACAGATGCCTCTTGGGATTTGTGCATCACAGCCCCCTTTTCATTCAGAGAGGGGACAAAGGACAGAAGTCCACTGCATATGCTCAATAATGGCTTTTTCATTAGTGTTCCAGTTTATTTTGACTTACAGGAGTAGAGGTACTTCAACTAGTTTAAAAAGAAATCTCTTGGTAAAAGGTTGTAGTCAGAATCCAGTTGAGAATTTTTTTTTATAGCATATTGCAGGCAGGTACTTATCTTGCCATATTTTATGTTACACTATCTTTTCCTATTATATCATGCCATTCATTGTTTTATTGTCATTTCTCCAAGAGCAAATATGTGGTAGTTCCAAGAAAAATAACAGAAACAGTTGCTGGGGATTTTTTGGTACAAAAATATAAATATGGTCTGTTAAGTTGAAGAGAAACGAAATAATTTTCCAACTTAGATATGGGTCTTTAACTCACAGTGATCCAATATTGTGTTATAGATGAAGAAAAAGCAAAACTAGATCCATCTTACTATTTGAAAAATACAAATGCAGAGACCCGAGAGACTTTACTGGAACTTTATAAAGAATTCAAAGGCGATGATATTCTAGCAGCTACAATGAAGGCTCCTGAAAAGAAAAAAGTGGATAAGCTGAATGCAGTAAGATGACTTAATTGATTTATTTGCTATCACCAATTTGATTTTTTTGAATTGTAGACAGCATTTTTCACTAAAGGAAGCAGATTACTGTCTGAACAGAGTACTTATATTTTCTGATGCATGAGAATTTACTGTATATCAAATTCAATGAGAGTTATGTTTTCAGTTTATAAGATGATTACTTTGGTGAGAGAGGTGATACAGTAAAACTGTGATAACCGGCATTCTACTATCCGGAATACTCTAACTAGAATTTCCGGCTGGACGTACGGGTTGGGGGGAAGTCACACATGGCAGCCGTCGCCACCACCCTTTGCTGCCACTGCTCTGAATTTTTAGATATCCGGCACCCCGCTTACCTCACTTATGCTGGTTAACACAGCTTTTACTGCATTTTTTTTCCTCCCAGTTTGTAATCCCTTGCTTTGACTTCATTTATCATAGCTTCCAGAGTTATTAGCAGAGGGAACACACGTTAAGGGCCATGCAAATGAAACTTTCCTGGTGTAGGAATATATAAAAATCAGTAGCAACTGCTCCAGTATTTCTTCTACTGTTACTGTCTGCTCATAGTGGTCAAGAGAAGCCATCTATCTGCATTTTGAATCCCTGCATCAAAGGCTGCTGTGAGTAGGCAAGACTGGATGTTATCCACTCCCTTAAACTGTTTTAGGATGTGGGTCATTGTGCTTCAGTTACCTTTTTATGAAAATCACCAAGTACTAATACACTGCAAAGATTTTTATAACAAGGCAACTGAGATGAACTGTTTCTGAACCTTGACATATGAGACTCCATGAACCTGATTTGTCAGCTTTGTCCTTGTTTCAGACAATAAGATCTAAAAAATAGCACATAGAAGGATGGATCATGAACTCTCCATGTTCCCCAAAGCCTTGTCATCAGTTGATGTACATTGGCATACCCCTGTCAACTTCAGTGAGAGACAGTGTTTCCTAATGGGTATAGAACTAGACTAGAGCTCAGAAGTCCTTTGTTCTACACATCATACTACCCTGATCTACTTAGAACTGGAATGGTGCGTGGAAGTTTACCCAGCAGCTCCACTTTCACATCTCTAGCTGTGGATATGAAAGCAATTTATAACAATAAAGCCCTTGCTTGATAATGTAGTAAAAGAAATTGGTGTGGAAGCAATAAGCCCCTTAGCTCAGTGTCTGGACAGCCTTAAGTAGAAATTTATCAAGGCAAATGTTATGGATAACAGATGGAGAAATATCACTTCATCATGCCTCTGCTCCCTCCTATAAGAACTGGGGTCGAAAGCCTGCTTTGGACAGAAACATAGAGACATTTTGTGTGTTTCTAGTAGTTAGATCAGGGGCGGGCAATTATTTCGGGTGGAGGGCCGCTTACCCAGTTTTGGCAAGCTGTTGAGGACCGCATGGGTAGCCCCGCCCCTTGACAGGTACCGCGCCCCTGGTCACCATCTTGGGACCAATGTCTCAGGGCCAGCGCAGGTGGGGCCCAGAGCGGGGCGCAGGCTGGCAGGGGTCTGTGGAGCTGGTTTGGGCTGCACCAGCAGCAAGAGTGGGGAGCTGGCCTGGCTCCATAGAGCCCCTACCGCCCTGCTCTGGGCCCTGCTGGCGCTGGCCCCGAGACACCGGTGTGGGCCTGCGGGCCGGGGCCCCGAGACACCGGTGTGGGCCCTGTGCACCCGTTCACTCCCAGTGCCCCCCCAGCCCCACAGTCCAGGTGGGGGGCAGCGTGCAGCCCCGACACCCTGCTCTGTGGCAGGGAAGGAGCTGGTGCTGAGCACAGGGAAAAGCGGCCTCTCCCCTGCCCTATGGCCAGTGCTCTCTGCTACAGCTGCCCGCAGCCCGCATGGGGCTGTCCTGAGCAGGCACAGGTGCGGGTCAGGGTGGAGAGGCAGCAGACATTTGCAGATGGCCCAGGTTCTGGGTAGCTGCTGACAGCTACAGTGCCTGGGCTGGGGGGTAGGGGCTTTGGGTGGAGGGCACAGGGCTGGGGGGCAGGGGCAGCAGGGCTTGGGGGCAAGGGGCACAAGCAGGGCATCCTGCCACGTACCCCCTGCCCTCATTTTGTTTTGAGCAGCGCAGGCAGCCCCAGGCAGGCTGCGGCTGGCTGCAGTATGAGGCACTGGGCACGGGGTGGGGCAGGAGCCACTTTTCCCATGCTCAGCACCAGCTTGTAACCCACCTCGGCTGGCAGGCTGGGGCCC